TTTTTTTTTTTTTATTATCCTTTTTTATCTTACCGCATCAATAACGACCATAAAATATGATCAGAAAAAAAGACATTAGTTATTCGGTCAAAATCCGGTGACGAAAGGCCGATGGTTTAGAATGATTTTGAAGAACAGTAGGAACTAAAATGCTTGATGTACTAAACATCACCACATTTGTTCACTGTTTATTTTTCGTGGTAAAACAACAAAGTAGGAAAAAAGAAACGAAAATGAAAAACAGTAAAGTAAAGAGGTTGGTTTTGTTCACGTTTTTTTTTTTTTTTTTTTTTTTTGCGTAACATGAGCCCATCATATATCCCCACTCCATATTACGCTTCGTCATCGATAGATACTGTTCCAACTGCTGCTGCAGTGGGGCTCTGAACTTTCCTTCCTATGGTCATTGTCATTTCTAATGTTGGATGTTATCCGCTTTATGGATGCTTCAACTGTTATCCTCTTTCTTTTTCGCTCAATATGTATTGTATCCGTGAAAACAAATTTTATCTTATTAAAACATGGAAAATTTCTTCCATTTTAGTTTTTAATCCAGTAATGAATTGATTTCTTTTCCTAACCTTACAATAACACTTAATTATGCAACTTAGAAGTATTATTTGTTACTAATTTATTCAAAATGTGCAGCTGTACAGATGGTCAAAAAAAAAAATAAATAAATAAATTTAATTTATCAATATTTTCTTATATCTGACTATAATGCAAAAAATAAGTGAATAAATAAATTTGAGACGAGATTTTTGGTTGATCATACATATATATTTCCTTTTTTTTTTGTCTTCTTTGATCTACTAATAAAGTAGTGCGTTTTTTTTCCCTTCTCTCAAAATGACAACAATTTGGTGACAAGTATATTGACGGAAAAAAGAAAATTTTGACAGAAATTTTTATATATGTACTTTGTGCTGTATATTTATTCTTTTCACCACCAAATCGCAAAATACAGTTTTACAGTAACATTAGTCGTTGACAGTTAATCTTTAAACAACTAAATTTATTAGTCTAAATACCATCTAATTATCAACATTCCATAAATGTTGCTAACAATAGACAGCAAGTGACAATAAAATCAATTACATTTACAATTACTAGTAATAGTGATAGTAATAATAACAGTGATAATAACTGTAAAAAAAGATTATGTTTTTTGTTGTTTATAGCAACTTTTTTTTTCCTTAAAAATCTATGCATAAATAAATATAAAGTTATAGTTTGCTAACTAAATTTTTACACGAATTTAAAAAGCAAAAAAAGTTTTTGTTGCTTAACAACCTATTGATAATATCTGTAGAAGTTCTGTGTTTTGAAATAAAGTTGGTGATTATAGATGAATTTAACAAAAGTAAACAGATGAGTAGAGCATTATTAAAATGGTAAATAGATAAAACAACTTTTTGTTCCGTTAGTTAGTTGAATATGTAAAGAAAAACTTTACAGCTGCACAAAACAAATTTTTATTGTTGCTGCTGCCAAACTGACTGTCGTTTCAAAAGTCCGTCGTGATTCTGACGATTCCAATAGCAAAAGTTTATTTTACAAAAGTGAGGGTAAAAAATGTATGGACGAGAAAAAAAAAAGCAAAAAGCGAAGAAAAAAACGAAAAAAGAACGGTCCAAATATTTTAATATTTAATTTTGACTAAATATTCAACCTATATCCGTTTTTTACCTTCTCTGCTTTCTCTTTCTTTTTATATTTATAAGTTTGTTTAAGAAGGCTTCCTGATGGAGTAGGATATAAGTATTTACTCGGTTGTCAATCTGTAACGGAACTCATCTAACTACATGCATAACGGCAGCCAAAAATTCTTCTTTTTCCTCTACTATTCTCTTAAGCTACTTTTAGAAAAAAAGCCATCGTAAAAGCACCACTTAATTTTCCTCCTTTTTTTCATAAAAAATTAACTGAATTTTTAGACACTTCACAATCGGCTGATGTAGGTTTCAATTAGTTGACGACAACAGTTGGCATTTTATGGCGCTGCACTACGCCTCATCTGTTTAGACGACATTTAATTTGACTGTCATAAGACTTTGGTC